AAATAGGAAAATTGTCTCATGCGGGCTGGACCGCATGGCTACATATGCGGTCCAAAAAGTGTAAAGCATCCATCTTAAAGATGGATGCAAGTAGGTGTTCCATCTAAAAACAATGGAAACTAACGATCCAAATATTTTCTTACTAGAATTATTATTATATATATGTGTGTGTGTGTGAGAGAGTAGTTCAGTGGTAGGAATCAAACTTGAGATGTAGCACAGTTTAACATCAGCTGTTAACCACTCAAGTCCAAGCCCAATTCCTTTCTATCAATATATTAGTTTGGTAAATCTCATGCTAGTTTGGTGTGTCCTTGAATAAGGAAAGTCAAAGTTGATGAAAATACTATATCTAGGATTGAGAGATATCCCAATCATCTTCAAACAGACTTGGTTACAGAATATCCAAATTTTTGAGATTATCACATTGTTGATTTTGTTGTCAATAAAAAGGATCATGGATCATGGACAATTAATGTGTTGTTTTGTTTACCTTATCATAATTTCACATTTGAATTTTGGTCTACTGAAGTTGATCCCTTATTCATGGCACTAGTTCATACCTAACAGTAAAAGCTAGAGAGGAGTTCATGTCTCCAGGGAAAGAATTTCATCAGGAAAAAAAGATATTAAAGACAACATCTAGACAAAGCAGCTAGGAATTAAGCTGAGAATTGTTAAATCTAGCAGGGCAGGTTACCACACTAGGACACAATGCTAGCAATGAAAAAATCATGATACATCATTTTGATGAGCATTGCAAAGTTACCGAGGTTCATATGCATTGAATGTTATATCGACTGTATCAATATCAATAATCGTAATAACCAAACAAATAAACTAAAATGAAGAAAAAGTGAACTTTCATAAGTTCCGGGAAACATATGGATCACAATTGGATAAACAATAAGGTTCATTTATGACTTAGGTAAAACAAACTCATTTCAATAAATAATGACAAAAATGCCATGAAAGTTAAATTTTAAGCCATGCAGTGAATGTACATCTAGGAGAAGAGGGAATGGTAATAGCTTACCAAAGGTTTTTTTTCTTTTCTTTCCAATGCACTACAAGACAACAGAAGTATTTATTCATCAGCACAAAACAAACAAACAAACATATAATATTCCAACGCAAAAGGAAATACCAGGCCAGGATTTACACCCTAGTGGCAATATTTACCATGACGCATGGAAGCAGAAACAATTTAACTAGATTCTCAGGTTGATAGTGACAATCCTCTGGAAGAGTGCTGTTGCAAGGAGCATTATTACCAGGCAATAATAATGTCTTTAGATTTTTAGGAGGATTAAAATAATCTAGTCTCTCCAACTCAAAAGACTTTGTGAAATCAATAAAAGAGGGTTCTTGCTTTTTGTTCTTTGGCCGCTTTGTTTCCATCAGGGGATTGTTTGAAGAATCCAGAACCTCCTCTGAACCTAAATCAAAGGGCACACCAGAACACTTATCTGCATAAGCATACCAAATAATCAATCCAATTGAGGATCATCGTTTACCGAATTTCTACCTTTCACTTTCCTAAATTTCCAATGATCAGGACCAGCCCAAGCGTTTGATTTTGAAAGAAATCCCAAGCCTGGGAGCAAAAATTCAGCTGTTCTCTCACTTGTTTCTTCATTATCAGCTTCATGGAGCACATAAGGATCACCAAAAGCATCCTGCAGGAAAAACAGAAAAAAGTTGAGAGAATGAAACTGGACCAAGCAAACAATATGCATCCCACAAAATACCTGATTATAACTCTCTATGTTTGAACCCATGGAGGCCAAGACATCATCAACTACACTGGCCTGGTCATCATTGTCAAAGTTCAAAGGCTCATGATTGTTGAACCCATCATCGTCGTACTCATCAACATTTTCAGCGAGATAAAACTCATGCCCCATAGCTTTCTCGGTTGTAGGAAAGTAATTCCCAGGTCTTTGATTATGTTCATCGAAAAGCTTGATAATCTCATTAAGGGTTGGAGAGATTTCATTTTTGGCAGGCCAGTCCATCATCATCTGCTCAATGTACTCTGCAGAAGGAAACAAATATGTGGTCACAGAAAAACTATTATAACCCAATGGACCACAGTAATCTTAGTTCATTCTTATCATCACCGTACAACTAAATGATGGATGGTGATGGCGAGAGAGCAGGACCAACCATTTGCATCATTTCCTGCTCTGGTGGTATTTTGATGCTTGGTGATGACACCAAGTGGGCTATGGTTTTCCATTGTCCATTGGAGTTTAACGTACTTTTCCATGAGAGTTAGATGGGATTACCGCTAATAGTAGAAGGCATCAAAAGTAAAAGTACTTGAAATATAAAAACAATGATTAAATAGACACCTCTTGCAAAAGATATGTCAATGACATCGGAGTTTTGGCTTTGTGTAGCACATGACATGTTCTTTCCTGGGGCTTCAGATGAATCAAACACAACACGGCAACCACCATATACTCCAAGATTGTTCAGCAGAAGACCCTTGGCACCCCCTTCATCAAATTGTGCAGAGGTTTGATGATACAAGGGATCAACAGTGAATGCCACTGAAAATATAGAGGAAAAGAATAAGTGGATTTTCAAAACACAATACAAAAAATGAATTTTGGGAAAGTATGCTGTAGGCCAATGGACTATGCAAAACATTTTCCATGGGATTACGGTATAACTCCCCATGAAATTTATTTGATATTATGGTATATGATCCCATAAAATTTATGCAATATCGCGTGCATTGATATACCATCGAATTTCTTTATGTTAAGGGCCTCAAAGGATGACTCCAATGTCGATAATGGTGATGACTGCACATTACACATGTCATTAGCTGAGAACAGAAAACAAAGATTATTTGCAGAAGTAGAATAAAAACTCCACCTTCTTCTCGGGCTCCTTCTTATAAGCAGCACCTTCCTGACCAGCATCAATATCATCATCCTGAACAACACGCCCTATATAACAAATGAGAATCAGAACATTTACAAAACCACAAATGGCATTATCTTAATCAGCAACAGGATGTTTATGGGTAGAATCGTTTGTGAAAGGCCATCATTAAATGTGAGTGTGGAAAACTCGTACATTAGAGGCCTCAGGTAAATGCATCTACTACATGAAATTCAGAGACATGGAACAATTATGGTTCGACAAAAATAAGGCTACATACATGTTACATATTCAAGACCGGCCAGGAAAAACACAAATCTTATCACAAAGCATCCAAACCAATTGGCAAAAAAATTTCAGACTGAAGTCTAGAATTTCAAGTTTATCCAAAGCAGATATGGGAAAGTTTTTGGGGCAGTATGGGAATCATGGCCTGTGATATTCTCCTTCTACCAGTGTTTTACAACTACATGAGACCAACTCAGCCACTCCCAAGTTACTCAGGCTCCACACTCTGCTGAAACCAAAACCCTCTGAAACTTGGGGGAAGGGGGGGGCGGGAGGAAGGGGGGGGGGGGGCGGAGGGTGTATATTTATAAAAAAAAATGTACAAACACGCCCGAGTACTGAAAAACTCTGGAAGACTCCCCAAAGTTTTACATAACCTGTGCAAGTCAGCACAGTACTTGCCCAAGTACTGTTCAAAAACAACTTAAAAGGGAGCAGAAATCCGCTGCCCATTCTCCACCATTTTTTGTCCGTGTGCTAACGGGAGCGCTGATTGAGCCCAAATATCCACTTATCGATTAGATCAACTAGATTTGAGGAAAAAACAACAAATCTCACAAATTTGAGAGACCAAAGATTCAGGTGCCTGATATAAAAACTTGTGATTTCTTCACAATGGGTGGTCAGCCTTCAATGAAATTTCATCCATATGCCTATTTTTAGGATCTCTATCCAATCATGACCACCACAAAAACACAAAAGTTTTGAACTTTAGAGATTTCAATTTTTGGATTTACTATTCCCTCCAAAAAATTCAAGAGCCCAAATCGCTTAGAATTGGACTCCAAACCCAAAATTGGTTCAGTGTTTTTATTGGAGTAGTCTTAAGAAAACGTGACAATGTTCGGCATCGAGCACAGAGATCTCGGAGCCAGGAGATTTATGTAAAAATTTGGGTTTGTTTCTTCTTTTTTCTCATTCCAAATTAATAAGATTGATTTATTATTTAAAAATAGAATTTGATCTAGCATTTACTCTTGTTGATAGATCTTTGTTGCAATCTAGAGCAAAAAATGCGTAAGAATCAAGTTTCTTTTATCCAACTTTCTTTTACACAAAATAAGTTTTTACATTTATAAGAGAAAAATATTATGTTTTTATAATGTTGGGTTTTTTAATGTCAATAGTGAAATTTTTCATTAATAAGAGAGAAATTTTACATTTTTGTTTCTATTAGGATGGTAGAAAATTTTAAATTACGGTACATTAGATTGGACTAATAGTTAATTTCAGCAAGTACAGATTACCATTTCATCAAGAAACATCGGTTTTCCATCTTTTCCATGCTTTATTTGTCAAAGGTCAACTTTATTAATTTCATAGCTTTTTTGTATTCCCCTTCTTTTGGGATTTTTCCCAAAAAAATTCACCTTTTTTGCGACAACACGGCCCAAACTTGGCAAGTCAACTGGGACTCGCCCAAGTAATATTTTTTTCGTCATCAGGCTATTATCAAATACCCACTATTTGGCAGCATGTTCTACACAAGTGGCTTACTATGGATACAAACGAGTTTTAGCAGTATTCCTATGCAATATAATAGTAAAAATCACATTAAGCATCCATCAAAACTGACCCTTAGGTAATATGCACATAGACTACATGCGGAGGAAGATAATAGCCCTCCATTCATGCTTAGCGCTCCTAAACAAGCACATTGAGATCCTGTAAAGAAAAGAAGATGAAAGCAAGAGTAGCTTCCCGATATTTAGCATGGGTGCAAGAGCCAAGTAACAAAATGGAGTACAAAATGACAACATTACCCCAGATGTACAATGATACGAAACAACCACATGAATGTGCATTTTATTAGGGGAGAATAAGCTATTCTTCAACCCTACTCTAAAAAGCTAGAGAGTGGGTTTCAACCATTTCCAGCTTGCATGTGAATGACTACTTCCATGGGGTTGTAGTAGTTGGGTTACCAGGCCCTGCTAAAGTCCAGACCCAGTTCCAACCTTTCCAAAACTGATTAGAATCAGGTTTTAAAAAACAGAACATGGATCAGAACCCTGCAAGAGCTGAGCGAGTCAGTGACTCAAGCGGTCCCTAGTAAGCTCAACGAGACCCATCTTTTTAAGTACCTTTTGAAGAGAGGGAATTTTTTAAGACTCAAGAAGATTCGGTTAGACTTGGTCAAACTCAGATCAGACTCAGAGCAGCCTCTGATCATTCCATGTTTGGCTTATGAACCGGCTGCCAATTCCAAGTAACTTGGGTGAGTCAAAGTCAGATTCACCGAGCTTTTGAACATTGGTTAGAATATTAAATATCCAACTCTTAGACAAAAGAGAACAAAGAAAATAGCCTTTAGTTCCAGCAAATGCATCGGGTTCTCCTTACATCATATTGTACATTGGCATTATCATACAAGCAGCAAATGCAAGTAGTAGTAAACAAAATATAACTAGCTCAATGTCCAAATAGTCTAACTCCAAAGAAAAATTAAGAAACCATATAACATTGGTAATGAGAAATAAAGAAGAAACTTCGGAAACCAATGATAATAAAACTCAACAGCCAACAAATTCCGGAGTTTAAATTGTCATAAAAATAAACGGAAAAGTTACAGAGTTCTAGGAGATAACCTCAATAATAACCAAAAACACTTGCCTACTGTAATTCCTCAAATCAGAAGCCACTAATGCAGGACGATTAAGCATATAGTAATAGAGCTTAAAAATCTTACCTGAATCATTATCTTCTCGACCTGCTCGGTTGATTCCACCAAGGACCTTGTAAGCCTCAGAATGAACTGAATCAACCCTCAAGGAATAGATCTTTACCCCTGCTTCAAGTGTGCAGCTTGCCTGAACCATCAAACAAAACCACTTGCCTTAAAAGGACCAACAAATGACAGAGAAAAATTTAGGAGTAATTCAGTAAAAGGAAAGCAATATAGAAAGTCATTCGACCTAACCTTCTGGAAATTGGTCTCAGCATCATCATCCTCAACCTTTATAATGTCGCTGAGATGATCGATGAGGCTGAGCTCCCATGTGTTCTTCTGGTTAATTTTCTGGTAGAGAGAGAAAAGAGAAACGTTCAGAGAATTGTGGTCAGAGAAATAAAAACGCAGTTGTTCCAATTGAGGAAAGAAAGAGAGCAAAATACAGTCGGATGGATAAATGCAGTAAGAGGAAAAAGGATATGATTGAATCAATAGAGGGGAGATAGACATAGAAACAGACATAGAGAGAGAGAGAGAGTAGCAGTGAGAAGAAATGGGGTGGACGGAAAAATCCAAATCGCCTCAAGTGAGAGGAGACAGCTAAAACAGAAACAGAAAGATAAAAAGAGCCAAAGAGATCATCAGAATTTCGGAAGAAATGGGGGCAAAACGAAAAACCCTAATTTTACATTCTCGCTTGCAAGTTTGATGCAATTGTTGAAGAGTTGCAGGATCTGGTCTTTGTCGAGGAGGTCATCATCACCGTGGAAATGAGCAGAGTTGAAATCAGGGCGCCCCACAAAAGACTTCCTCCTACTGGCGAGAAGGCGTTCTGCCCTAGCTTGAGCTCTCTCGAGCTCGTCATCATTCGAGCCAAGAAGCCGAGATGGAGGTGTAAATTGAAGCCTAGCGCTCACTGGTGTCCTCTGCCCCATTCTCTCTCTCTCCTCTCTCTCTCTCT